ATAATAAATAAAAAGAAATGGCATTAATAGAAGAAGAAGAAGAAGGAGAATTGGAAATAGTTATTTCCAATTTTTAATATATCATTTTACAGCTGTCATTAAGGTTTTTTTTTTCTTTCGTTGAAAATAAAAATTCTTTTACTTTCTTTGGCATTTCTTTTTAATCTATTCGATAGTATTCATTGGTAATGGAAGAGAAGGAAAAATTGGAAGTAATTAATGATTTCAAATAAATTATCTAATTTGAAATAGAAAGACAAAGATGTTTTGGAAAGAATGAAAAGATCATTTATTTTAATTAAGAAATTAAACTGTCAAACATATACAACTTCAATGATAGTAAATAATTTGAAAAGAGAAAAGTAATTAATTAATTTAAATTAGAAATGATGGAATTAATTGGAAATGTAGAAATTATTTATTTAACAAATGAAGGCAAAAAAAAAAAACGTGAAAATGGATTAAAATGAAACAAACAATTTCAATTTAAATGTGTAAGTAATTAATTAATTTAATTAGAAGCGATGAAATTAATTGGAAATGTAAAAATCATTTATTTAACAAATGAAAGCACAAGAATAGAAATAAACAATTAAACAAACAATTTCAATTTAAATGTAAACAATTCTTTTTTTATAAGAGATAAACAAATCAATGATAATATTTTTGCAAAAAAGAAATATCGTAAAAAACAATAGCACTTAATAAGTCATTTGTTATTTGACGTGATAAGATTGATAAAATAATTGATGTTTAATTTTATACAAATACCAAATTAAATATTTAAAAATTCTTAGTTAAAACCAACAAAATGATTATCCCTTCATCAATTAGCATTTTTCCTAAATGTTAATTATATTTTTGAAACAAATTAAATTAATTTTTAAATGTAGATATTATAGGGTGGTAAGAGGTTGAAATAGTAACTTTACGCATCTCTTTAATATTATTATTATAAATCTTTTATTATTATCATTATTATTATTGTTATTATTATCATTATTATTATTGTTATTATTATTATTATTGTTATTATTATTATTATTATTATTATTATTATTATTATTATTATTATTATTATTATTATTATTATTATTGTTAATATTATTATAAATTTCATTTAGCCATTACTATCATTCAATATTGAATATTGTTAGTAGCATTACTGCTTACTATCATTTATGATAATGATTAGTGAAAAATGATGAGAAGGAATAAAAGAATTGAATCATTTTGGGATGGATGAGAAAAAAGCTAATAAACATTTCGGTTTATTTTCGATTTTGAAATTCCGCTTGGCATTTTGCTTTAGAAGGCTGGACATATATTATGATCGCTTGCAACATACTTTAAAAGAACTTCATGCTTTAAGCATGAAAGATAACCGGATAAAGCTCTTCTGATAGAGGATAACCGGATAAAGTTCTTTAAATTGAAGACAATCGGATATAGCCCTCTTATAGAATTTTCAGCAATTTCAATAAAAATCAGATATTCATTTCCAAACAACAAAATCATTTATTGCTAATAAAATATAAGACTGAAAAAATGATAAAATTAATATAATTACATTAATAAACTATTAATTGTATGAGTAAACAATTAATTATGTACGAGATGAATTCGTATTTTTGATTTTAAAATCGATTAGAAGAAAGAGAGTACAATTGAAAATGATCCGTTCGTCAGCAAGTTGTAAACAAATTGTTTCGCAAAAACCAACTCTTACGCAAGAGAACAGCAAAATTTTTATCGATCTTTTGTTTTTGATAATTGCTTGAACAAATAACAAAATGTGTACAATCGATTATATTACTATAAACTGGATGTAATTCAAATTAATTATGCCAAAATAAAATTATTAATTTTACAAATAGAAGATTAAAAATGAATTAATTTCAATTAATATAACAATAAATAAAATTCAAAAAAAAGCTGACAACCTTTGTTAAATTATTTTAAGATTCTTAGGAATTGCTTAATTAGAATTAATTGATAAAGCTTAATGAGTAATATTTCTTTGCTAAATAAAAATTGAAATAATTAAAAGAAGTTTGATGATAGAAGAATTCAATCATATCAATAAATGAAATGCATCACACAAAAATAATCAAATAAGAACTTTTTTTTGGTTCTTATTTTTTTGTTTTTTAATTACCTGTAAAAGGTAAAATGAATGAAAAGGCAGCTGTACAATTGGAAATTATGAACACGAAATCAATAATAAATTGTTGTTGCTAGAGTGAAATGGTGACATGTCGCCTGACTTTACTTGTTGTTGGTCTTTGATTTAGCAATTGATAGCCATTACGTGCTTGTTATCATTATTGTAAACAAATCTCAAATTCATTATCATTTAATAAACAATTTTGTATTCATTACTATCCAATATATACCTGGAAAAGGTAAAGAAATAAAAAAAAAAACGATCGATGAAACTTTTGGTTTTCCACACAAATTTAATTTTACCACAATTAAATTTTAGACTTTTGTGTTTCAAAAAATTTTTCAAAATTTATTTCTCTCTTAATTATTAACTAATTAAACTTATCACTATGAATATGACCGTAATAAATGCAAGATGTCGTTGTAAAAATATTGTACTAATTTCTAGTATTAATTAGTATTAGCATTAGTATCTAATTTTGATAATAAGAAATTAGATAATAATATTTTTACTTAAAATTTAAATTGAATTTACTAGAATCAAAGAATTAAAAAAACAGTCTAAATGCTATCAAAAGTAAATATTAACACTTTAATTTTCATTATTTCTACCTTGCCATTTTTAATTGATAATTAAATTATAAATCATATTTAATAAAATTAATTTTATTAATTAGACTGTTCACTAAACCATTGAAAATGATCCCTTCTTAAATGTATTTTAAATGTATCTTAGATGTATTATCTTAAATGTATTATTACAATAAGAGAGAATTACAATTTGAGACACATACAATTTGAGATTTAATCATTCAATGTCATATAATTGTAGAATCGATCAGATTTTTTGTCTTCTATTTGTTTGATTTATCTGATAAAATTAAATCGATCGATTAGTAAAATATGCAAAAGAATTGAAAAAATTTGTTTCATATTAATTAGATAAGTGGAAGCGAAACCGAACAGATTAATTTGTAAATATTGAAATTTTTGGATTTATTAGCTAATTAGTAAATACCGGAATATATTATCTAGTTAGTAAATATCGAGATTTACTATCTAATTAGTAAATACCGAGATGTACTATCTAATTAGTAAATATCGAGATATATTAGCCAAATAGTAAATATCGAGATAGTAGTAATATGTGAAATGACTTTATGTAATAGATTGTTAAAATGATAAATACAGATTGATGAAGGAATATTTATTCAAGTTATATATAAGTGAATAACATAATCGTATGCTAGATATTTCAAAAAAAAGCATAAGAAATGAATTAATTAATTGAATACATAAAATAAGAAATGAATAAATTAATTTAATACATGAAAATATAAGAAATGAATGAATTAAATAACTACATAAAAAAGCACAAGAAGTGAATGAATTAATTAAACATATAAAAATATAAGAAATGAATTAATTAGTTGAATACATAAAATAAGAAATGGATGAATTAATTCAATACATGAAAATATAAGAAATGAATGAATTAAATAATTATATGAAAAACATAAGAAATGAATGAATTAATTAAGTACATAAAAATATAAAAAATGAATTAATTAATTGAATACATAAAATAAAAAATGAATAAATTAATTCAATACATGAAAATATAAGAAATGAATGATTTAATTAAATACATGAAAAAATATAAGAAACGAACTGATTAATTAAATACATAAGAAATGAATGATTTAATTAAATAATATCACGGATAAGTCTACGATATTCGGCTTATTTGACGTTACTTGCCAGCCGCAATAGTAAGAAAGAATATAAATTTGAATTTATGGGAATAAATATATTATTAATAATCATTTGTGTATATTATTAATAATCAATTTCTTATTATTAATTGATTATTATTAATAATCAATTTTAGCTAATATATTAGTAATAATCAATTTCAACGGAGAAATTACGTAATTGTTAAGATTTCAGAATATTTCAAATTATCACTGATCTGATAAAATCTTCTTCACAGATTAAATTTTATTTGACAAAAATTAATTATGCAAATAGGAACGAAGATATAGATGTGTTATTCATTATCGAAGCTTTAATATGCCTTAATAATAAAGTCTTCATATATTGTATTAGTGAAAGATGTCAAAGTAACATCAACCAATGCTTTAATTATTATAATTTAATTACAAGCGTTAATTATCGATCAATTTTTTGATGCATTAAATTTCGTATTTTAATATTTCATTTACAATATATATTCTAAAAATATATTTTGATTCAAATGTATTTAAACTTTAATGTAATTAATTAATGACATAATAAAAATATATCATTCGTATAGTTTATTATTTTAAAGTATGTTTAATACTCTTCTTTACAGTCTTTATTTAATATTCGATCATTTTAATTTCAAACATTTGTTTGTATTATTATTTATTCCCTTCCTTTCAAATTTATCTTCCGCTAAAACAAAAATCGTAATTAATTTTCTCTCTTAACAAATGCCTTATGTTTTGCTAAGTGTTAACAAAATCTAAAATTAACAGATATCTTAAACGAAATCTAAAAATTAATAATTAATCCAAAATTAATAATTAATTGTTTTTTTTCTATTATGCAAATGATTAGACGAAATTTTTAATATATACATATATCTTATATTTTGCGTAGTGTTAGCAAAATCTAAAATTAACAATTAACCTAAAATTAATAATTAATTGTCTTTTCTCTATTATGTAAAAAATAAGACGAAATTTTTATTATAATTCAAATTTATTAAAATACATATATGAACAAACTATGCATTTATAATATGCAAATAATCACATACTATTATGATAACACTAATCATTATTTGTTTACGCCGGATTACTAGTTTGTTGTTTATCTCTTGCTAAACGTTCAGTAAATTTTTTTAAATACTTTTCATAATCACGCCGAAATCGTCGTGTAAATGAATCTTGTGGTAATGATTTAACTGATTGCAAATATTCGATCAGACAGATATGAATAAATAAATATTGTAATACTGATTGCACCGAATGTAGCCGTTGACGACGAATCTCTTTAACAATCTATATCAATAATTAATGTTATTATTATCACTACTATTGTTATTACCATATTATTTTATTATTATCATTGACTATTATTATTTTTTTTATTCCATTATTATTATCACTACTCATATGAATAACTAATAACTCATATGAATAACTCATATGAATAACTCATACTCATTAGACAGATATGAATAACTAAATATTGTAATATTTGCTGCATCGAATGTAACCGTCGACGAAGAATCTCTTTAACAATCTATATCAATGAATAATATTATTATTATCACTACTATTATTATTATTGACTATTATTATTATTTTATTATTTTTATTTCATTATTATCACTACTCGATTAGACGGATATAAATAAATAAATATTGTAATACTGATTGCATCGAATGTAACCGTTGACGACGAAACTCTTTATCAATCTATATCAATAATTAATGTTATTATTATCACTACTATTATTATTACTATATTATTTATTATTATTGACTATTATTATTATTTTATTTTTATTTCATTATTATTATCACTACTCGATTAGACAGATATGAATAACTAAATATTGTAATATTTGCTGCACCGAATGTAACCGCTGACGACGAATCTCTTTAACAATCTATATCAATAATTAATATTATTATTATCACTACTATTATTATTACTATATTATTTATAATAATAATCATTAATATTTTATTATTATTATTCCAATTCGCATTATGAACTCAAAAAAATAACTCAACAACAAAAATTCGTTTTCAGCTTATCTTTTAATATATTCTTCCTAATTAAACCATAACAATGACAATTATTTTCGGATCAAACAGTTGGCCTAATTTGGATGAAATTATCACTAATTTGGGTGATAATTATCCTTTTTTTCCATGATTCATCAGAGTTGATTCATTCTGCTATTAGCTATAAAAATACCGGGTCAATTAAATTGACCAATTAAAGATGAATCATCCGCGAAGCAATAGTTTAGCTCTGCTAATGAACTAACATCAGGTGGAGAAACAATTCCATCTTCGTTAAGTCGACTTATGGCATGATCAACGGCGCAAAATGTACCCGTTCGACCGATTCCAGCGGAACAATGTACGGTTATTGGTCCTTTTTCTTGTAGTGTTTTTAATTTCATAAGTAATGTAACTAATAGTGCACCGGAACGTGGTGATGAACGATCCGGCCAGGTAGACCATCTATAGTGATAAACACGATGTGTATCATCACTGCAATATTTTTCACTGATTACTTTATTAGAGATTATAATTAATGATTCAAAAAAAAAAAAAAGCAAAACAAATAAAACATATTTTTTATAAAATAGTTGAATCTAAAAATTAATCATAGGTTTGTTTATTTTTATCACTATAATGGGTAGTTTATAAATCATAATCATTATAAAATTATATTTATTATTAAGAAATTAATGAAATCATCTATCGTACTCTAATCGGACGCTAATTATTTGGCAGATAATCGATTCTAAATTTTCTCCATCTTTTTCATTTTTAACAGTAATTCCACCATATTGAACTTTTTCACCAGCTGTTAAAGGATAATATTCGGCACATTTTGATTCACCATCTTCGATAAAATCACATAACATTACTATTGCTTGTACTTCTTCCTGACAGAATTTTAAATGGTATGGAAGAAAAGGATGAAATTAACAGAAAATTTTGTCATACTAAAATGTTTTTAAGCTTCTTTGTTCTTTATACATAATATTATTAACTATAAAAAAAATGCACAAACATATAGTAATGCAAGCAATTTATAAAGTTACTAAAAAAGGTGTCGTATCAAATTTACTAAAAAAATATTGTATAAATAAATGAATGTAATAATTGGATGATAATTCAATATAAACTGCATTAAAGTCTGAAAATTTGCATATATCTGGCAGGTGTATCGCTACTCACTCCCACCTACGCATACGCCCACTTAAACACCCACGTAAATCTACATGGATCCACACATACATTCAGTTAAGGTCTGTACAAGCACTCACGTATACATTTACATACACATCCACATACACCCACTTACTTTCATGGATACACCTACTCAGGCAATCACACACTCAAAAATATCCTATATACTCCCACTCAGACGCCCTCATATACAGACTACTCAAGTACTCATATAATTCCCGCTGATACCCACACATGTAGATCCACACACACACACACACTCAAAAATATCCAATATACTCCCATGCAGACACCCACACAAACAGACTACTCAAGCAGCCATATGGAGTTACATGGGTGACACCCACACATGTAGATCTATTCATGTTTCCATATAGTATCCACTCACACACCCTCACATATAGACCGTTCAAGCATCTATATAACTCCCACTCAGGCATCTTGGCACACACATATATCCACAAACACTTATACCCGTAAATGCACCTACACCTTTTACTGACACCCACACGTACCAAATGTACCTCCATTTATCCAACAATACAGTCATATACGCAAAGAGAAAATCTTATGGAAAAAAGAATGAATCTATTTCATGGAAAAACCTTGAAAATCATCCACCAGAAATCCTCGATAGTTTCGTCAAGCGGTCCTTGCGTACAAATATATCGTTTATTATTTGATAGATTAACCCAATTAGCATGAATATAATCATTGTTCTTTGGGCGATCTTTTAAGATTACTCGTGTTTTATCGAGACACATTACATCGGTATATCTTAAATGAGTGTTAAACACTAATATATTCATAGTTTAAGTGTCAAATCAAAAATTTCCTTTATTTCAAATTAATTAAAATTAATTTTAAATATATCATTCACTTACTTATTTTTACTAATAAACTCGTAGTTTAATTATCAAAACAAAAATTTCTTTTGTTTCAAATTAATTAAAATTAATTTTAAATATATCATTCATTTACTTATTTTTACTAATAAACTCGTAGTTTAATTATCAAAACAAAAATTTCTTTTGTTTCAAATTAATTAAAGTTAATTTTGAATAACTCATTCAGTTGCTTATTTTCAATTAATATACAATACTTTATGAGTGTAAAAGATTATAAAAGTATATTTTATTTAATATAAATTTATTTTATATTAAATGCCATAAATTGAAAAATTTTAACTAATTATTTTAATTATTCCAAATTAATAATAAGAATTGTTATTGTTTATTTTGATAAACAATTTAACTGATTAGAAAATTAAGCGATAATCTATTATAATGATAAATCATTATAAATATACCGATTTTTAGCAGGATATCGATCAAACATAATCGTTGTCATTTTAGGTGGTAAAAATTTTCGCACAGATGAAAAATCTTTCAATATTGGTCGTAAACCTTTACGACATATCGATCTTACACATTGCAAAGCGTTATCACCAATTTTATCACTAACTGGCACAATATCTTTATACTCTAAAAAAACTTTCTTATCATCATCACATTCAAATATTTCAAAAAAAGAAAATTTACTTTAATTATTTGAAAAAATTTTATCGTTTGTTATTTTATATAATTTTAGATTTATAAGATAAAAAAAATTTACAAATTATAATTAAATTAAAATTAATTAATTCGTGAAATTTGCATATTAATTAATATAAAGATGGTAAATTGTAAAGTTTTTCTAATTAATTAAAACTTAAAGAATTTAATTTAAGAGAATGAAAATATCATTCGAATTGTTGCCACCTGAAGAATTTGCAACATCAGTTTCCTTTACCGCTTCATCCTTAATATATGTCTTTCTCTCGTTTCTTTTCTTCCTCTGTCTGCTAGACTTTTCTTTAGTTCTCTAAAATTAGATTATCTAATTTTCCAATAAGCAATTATAATATTAATGACAGCACTAATTTTAGCTAATTAAAAAATCATTCTAAAACAATAATTAACAATAGTTCATAAATGATCATTAATTAACGGTTAATTAAATTATCAGATTGAACTAGCATTTATTTAATAATTTAATCATTAATTAATAGTTTACTCTTACTAACAAATACTTCTCATAAAAAGAAGACAAAATTTGAAACACAAAAACTTACACCTTTTCCTTTTCCATTTCTGAAAAACAAAAGAGGAATATTCTATTTTATATTATACCTTTATTTGTTTATTTATGCCTGTTTATTTATTTGTTTATTTATTTTTTATTTACATTTTGTAAAATTGAATTAAATTATAAATAAATAGAATATAAGAAAAATAAAAATTAAAATGCTTAATAAAACAAAATAAACAAATTACTGTAAACGAATTTTTCGGCTGGCACGTTTGGAGCCGTCAGCTGCAAGAAATTATTTAAATTTTCACATTTATTCTAAATATATTACTATTATTACTTGCATTGTTATTTTAATTGATTATATTATCATTGTTTATTATTCATCGTTATTTATTTAATTTATCATTATTATCATCATTATTATTTTTTTTATTACTGCCATTATTACTATCATCATCATCATCATTTTCACTTTGTGCTCAAAATTTTATTCTGAAAATTTTATCACTATAATAAAGTTGGAAAAATTAATAGATGATAATTGATAGGAAATTATTGAAATGATATTTATGGAAATTTTAATTTGAATAAAATAATTCGTATAATTTCATGCTTTAAGCATTTTATGCAAATTATTGTTAAAATGCATATATTATTAAAATTAAGGGTAATTTGACAAATTAATAATTATTTACTCACTTTGGCTAATTAAGCGTAAAAGATATTCTATCATCGTTAGGTCCTTTAATCTCTTATTGTTCTTATTATCTTATTATTATTATTATTATTGATACTATTATTATTAATACCATTTTATTGCTATTATGCTAATTAATCATAATAATTATAATAATCATAATCATAATAATTCCTTCCCCATTTAATACATTACATAGTGAAATAACGTAATAAATTGAAATTAATAAATATCGAAATAATTAATAAGTGACATAATAAATTGAAACAATTATACCATCTTCTTCACATGTAGCCGCATTATATGCGTCACCTTCCTTCTTATGTTGCATGGCAATCTTTAAAATCGAATAAAACGAGTAAAACAATATTCAAAGTTTTTTCTTAATTTTTAAAAACAATTAACAATTGTCAGAGCTATATGTTTTATTAACTATAAAATAGCATCGCTTATTTTTCCGTATCCGGAAACTGTTAAAAGAGAATAGTTTGAATGAAGAATGCGTTATAATGATAATTAAATACAATGGATCTATTTTTCTGCTCCCAGAAACCATTAAAAGCAAATAGTTTGAATGATGGATATATTATAATTATAAATAAAAACAATAGATTTATTTTTCCGTTTCTGGAAACCATTAAAAGCGAATAGTTTGAATGAAGAATATATTATAATTATAAATAAAAATAACGGATATTGTTATTTTGTAATCAATTACTCATTTTATCATTTTTCTCCGTAATAATTAAAATGAAATCGAATAACCTTTACGGATATTAATAACCTTAAAGAGATAGAAATTAAGTTTTTCATTTTAGATATATATAATTTAATGCTAAAATAAATCGGCCATAATGATAAGTTTTCATTTCTTCAGTTTTCTTTTCCTTGGAAAATAAAATATGAAAAAAGAAATAAATAATCGTAATTAAATAATTTAATTTTAAAATGAATTCCTAAATCTTTTTTAGTTAAAAAACAAATAATCGTAATTAAATAATTTTATTCCAAAATTAATTCCCAAATCTTTTTTTAGTTAGAAAATAAATAAATAATTGTAATTAAATAATTTTATTTTAAAATTAATTTTTAGTTAAAAAAACAATAAGCGTAATTAAATAATTTAATTTTTAAATGGATTCCTAAATCTTTTTTATTTAAAAAACAAATAATCGTAATTAAATAATTTTATTTTAAAATTAATTCCTAAATCTCTTTAATAATTGTATATTAATTTCTTTATTGTTTTAATTACAAAATACCCGATATTTCAATCTTTTGTTCATTTAATGCTTGTTGAATAATAACTTGAAAGTTAATTGTTTTTTCCTTGCCTGTTAGGAATAATTTAATTAAATAATTTAATTAATTACTTTGTATTTTTTATTCTCTCTTAAATTTTAAAAATTTTTTAAATTTTATCTTTTAGTTTTTTTTGTCGTTAATTTTTAAAAATAAAAAATTTGATTAATAAAACATTTTTCTCTTTGTTTTTATTTTAATTAATGAAAGAAAAGAAAGAGAGAAAAAAGAAACGTTCATCATATTACTCAATTAAAAATAACATTGGTGACAACAAATAATATTGGTAACATTGGTGACACTCCAGGGTTATGATCTTTTTGATAGTAAGCCGTTTTGATAGTAAGCCCCGGGGTTATGATTTTTCACTAAATAATTAATTAAATTTGAGAGAGAAGGAAAGTTAACCGTAAGACTATTTGTAAAATTGACAATTGTATACAATGCAAATGCAATATGATCGAATTATATTTATAATTAAGTTGCAACATTTAGCATTAATAAAGAAATGTATGCATATTTTTTATTAATTAAATTTATTTAAATTCATTTGAAAAACAATTTGAATTATTAAGTCATTATATTCATTCAATATATATTCAAATCTTATTTCCTGATATGAGAATATGATCTTAACCGGATACTCAATTCATATATTCAAATCTTATTTCCTGATATGAGAATATGATCTTAACCGGATACTCAATTCAATATATTCAAATCTTATTTCCTGATATGAGAATATGATCTTAACCGGATACTCAATTCAATATATTCAAATCTTATTTCCTGATATGAGAATATGATGCTAACCGGATACTCAATTCAATATATTCAAATCTTATTTCCTGATATGAGAATATGATCTTATCCGGATACCAAATTCAATATATTCAAATTTTATTTCCTGACATTAAATGGATACCTAATTCAATATATTCAAATTTTACATACGTAAATTTAATCATTAGCTGCTCGAAAAATGATAAGTATTAATTAACATTAGCATATAGGGTATTATGATAGCAATGGAAAATATGCCTTTTAAAATATGCCACCAATAATATCAGTATCAGTATTAAGACTAGTTAATTACAATTGCAATCTTTCCCGATGATATAGGAAGAAATGAAAAGAGAAAAGAGCTGGAAAGGCAGTAAGTGATAATTATAATGTGATATGTGATTATATATGATGTGTTTATATGTGATAATTATATGTAATAATATATATAAATTATATAGAATAAGTGATAAGATATTCGTTGATAAATTATTCACATTCTTCAAAAAATATATTATATTTCAATATAAGTTAGAATTATTAATCAATTAATAAATTATTATGCTTCATATAGTTTTGAATTAATTGTTAATTTAAGAAATTAATCATTTTTGTTTTTCTTATCACTTTTTCATTCTTATTGTGAAATTAAAATCAATAATGAAGCTACAGATACATATATAATTTCATTATTGATTTTAATTTCATTTATACATATGTATGTATAATTTCATTATTGATTTTAATTTCATTTATACATATGTATGTATAATTTCATTATTGATTTTAATTTCATTTATATATAATTTCATTATTGATTTTAATTTTATATATAATATATATACAATTTCATTATTGATTTTAATTTCATTTATATACAATTTCATTATTGATTTTAATTTCATTTATATTTAATTTTATTATTGATTTTATTTTTATATGTAATATATATACAATTTCATTATTGATTTTAATTTCATTTATACATATACATATACAATTTCATTATTGATTCTAATTTCATTTACATATAATTTCATTATTGATTTTAATTTCATTTATATATAATTTCATTATTGATTTTAATTTCATGAAAATATTAAAGAAAGGAATTTACAACGTCTAAGAATAATTCTTTAAATTCTCAGAAGAAATATGCATCGATTGTTTTTTTGAAGAAGTAAGCTTAAATAATAAATTAAGCTTCACTCTGTTCTCTAATTTTTTTTGTATTTACTTAAATTTAATGGAAATGGTTGCTCAGCCATAAATAAATATTTATAAATGTATTTAGTCATTGAAATATTCCTATAAGCTTTCATCCATAAATGTAAATATTGCCAGTCATTTTAGATGCTTCCAATAATAGATTTAATGAATCCGTGCAAAAGAAAATAGGTATTAATGCACTTAAAATAAATATTATATAATTTAGCTAAGCCATTTCATTTGTGATATTGCAGAAAACATATTCTTTTCATTTCTGCAAAAAATTTTATTAATGCAAAAAATAAATGATAGAAATAATAGGACATGTAGCGAATGGAAAAAAATGTAATCTAATAGCTTTTGCATTTTAATAATTAGAAATTGAAAATATAATCTAATAGCCTTTGCATTTTAATAATTGGAAATTGAAAATATAATTCTAATAGCTTTTGCATTTTAATAATTAGAAATTGAAAATATAATTCTAATAGCTTTTGAATTTTAATAATTGGAAATTGAAAATATAATTCTAATAGCTTTTGAATTTTAATAATTGGAAATTGAAAATATGATCTAATAGCTTTTATATTTTAATAATTGGAAATTGAAAATATAATCTAATAGTTTTTGAATTTTAATAATTAGAAATTGAAAATGTGATTCTAATAGCCTTTGAATTTTAATAATTGGAAATTAAAAATATGATCTAATAGTTTTTTTATATTTTAATAATTGGAAATTGTTATTCCGATATTATTATATAGAAGTATACTGATTATGGGATTTTTTTAATGCATCATCATCATGTATCGAAAATTAAAGTTTTATCATGTATCGGAAATTAAAATTTCATCGTAATAATTAATGTTTTATCTGTTTAGGTATTTTAGTATTTAATTTTTTCTATTACGATAATAACCGTGTTCCTAAAAAACCCATCTAAATTGAAATTGCCAAATATTTAGATAATTATGCTAAACATTTCGCCCTCTCCCTTCTGTTCCATTGTCTTTCGCCTTCTCGGAAGACTTACTGCAATAATGGGT